GGGGCATGACAGAAAATAATTGAGAACCACTGCACTAAGGCAAGGAAGGAAAACAAACCCGAGACTACAAACGAAAAACAATGTATCAAATACACGCAGCAAAAGGCAATTCACGAAAACAAAAAACAATACAAAACCAATGGTACCGAGAGAACAATAGTGAATACGATGAGGTCGATAGCAAAGGTCTATGGGCAAGGAAAGCAGCAAGGCAAAACAACACTCTGACAACCAGCAGACAGTTTGTGGGTCCTTAAATACAGAGTTCCTTAATTGCAAGATTGGCAGCAGGTGTGCAACCAGTAAGTCCGCTCAGTCTGCCACCTGCTGGCCAGGCCAAGAACAGGAACATGACAGTACCCCCAATTCAACAGACGCCTCCTGGCGGCCCACCCGGTTTCGATGGGTAGGAAGAGTGGAAGGTACGGAGAAGGGACGGGTCCAAGATCCAGGAGCGGGGGACCCACAGTCGATCCTCCGGTCCGTAGCCCTCCCAGTCGACCAGGTACTGGAACCCCTTACCCCTGCGCTGAGAGTCCAAAATGTCTCGCACCGTGTACACCGGGTCACCGTCGATAATCTGCGGAGGAGGAGGCGAGGTGGGAGGAGGAGCCAGGGGACTGGTAGCCACCGGTTTAAGCAGGGAAACGTGGAAGACGGGGTGAACCTTCATGGTGGGCGGCAACCGGAGCTTGACGGAGACGGGGCTGATGACTGATTCCACCACGAACGGTCCTGTGAAGCAAGGCCCAACTTGCTCGAGGTGCCGGCCAGACGCAGATCCCTCGTCGACAGCCACACCTCCTGGCCCACCTGATAGACCGGCGCCGGGCGACGATGACGATCCGCTATCATCCGGTTCCTGGAGGTGGTGCGAGACAACGCGGCCCTGGTCTCCCTCCACACACGATGAATCCGTCTCAGATGGAGCTGCACCAACGGAACCTCCACCTGCCCTTCTTGCGATGGAAAAAGCGGCGGCTGATAGCCATAAGCAGACATAAAAGGAGACCGACCTGTGGTTGACGAGACGAGGGTGTTATGGACGTATTCCACCCAAGGCAGGTGAACAGACTAAGATGAGGGACTAT